GGGTTTCGTCATTGGCCGGTGATGAAGTTATGCTAATATCTTTTATCACCTTATTACCACTACATTATAGCTTATTTTTAAGCAAATTCTGCATCCACTAAATTTGCAGAATCTTAAAACTATTCATTTCACCAAGGCAACTTGACCATACTAGGTGTTCTTACCTACTTTCGATTTTTCAAACCTGTGACATTAACTGTTTATCGATTACTCAAATAGATATTTTACACCTACTCTATTGGCAAACAAGTTTCTATTATTAAAAAAATATATTTATAAACATTTGCAACTTTGCAAGCAACACATTTCGGTATTTATTTTAACGACAAAAGTCATGGCATGCCAAGCTTTAACTTGAGAGGCGGTCGGTCAAACTATTAGGCTATAGTTTGACCGACCGCCTCTCAAGTTAAAGGTTATGGTTCGAATTCAGGCTCGCACTTCTTGTTTTTCGGAATTTATGTGCGAAATTTTACTTGAAATTTACCATGTCGTGAGGAAAACTGTACACATCTGCAAAGCCCGCAGGGTTAGGGCCCGCGTGGGAATACATCCCAGGCCCTCGCATTGTGAGAGGCCTGTGCGCAGCAGTGGGACTATATATAGGCAAGATTTTTGTTCATCTTAATGGTGGTGCAACTATACAACATAATATAACATACTGACAATTTTTTTCCTCTTTTCACCCCCCAATATTAATCATTTGGGGGCCTTGCAAACGTATTTATGTTATTTATACTGTATACGAGTACGTTTTTACAATAAGATTCCGGAGCATGTATTAAGATTATCATTTTTTAAGTATAAAATTTACATTAAAAGTATTTTATTTATTTACATGAAAAGTCATATTATAAAATTGAAGAGTATTTAGATAAAGATGTATGGAAAGACAACATGAGTCTAGATTCCACACAATTATGATTCAAAGTAAAATCCATAGCATTTAAGTTTATTTGAAAAGAGCAATCCCTAGAGTTTCTTGCTTGTTCTTCTCAGGGAGGTCAGCGTAGTGAACGAGCAGTAGTTTAAAAAATTACGTTTTCAAGTGTAAATATTTTTTACCTATGGAATTAAATGATTATTTGACTTTGAATTTGCCTTGAGTATTATTTGTTTTTCTTTTTTTTATATTCTATTTTGTTGTTATTAATGTACTTTGTCTAATTTATATACCCTGTAATTAACTTTAAATTTATATATTACATTAAGTTCTATATATATATCATTATTAAAGCTAAAATGGTACATAGTAATTTGTAAAATTGTTTTAATGTTAATTCAATTAAAAATGTAAATATTAATAATAATTATTTATTTTAAACAGAAACGTTACATTTCATTGTAAGGCTCTGACTTCCGTGCTTGGTTACGGAAATCAGTCTCTCTCTCACAATTAGTTACACTTATTTATTTCTGGCAGTTTATATATCTGTTATTAATGTAATATCTATTAAAATATATAGTGTGTTTGTGTGTGTGTGTGAGTGCGCGTGTGTGTGCGTGTGCGTGTGTGTGTGCGTGTGTGCTATTTGATACGCTGATGTTTTGAGAGGAGCTATATTATTACGTATTATAGGTATTTATTTTTACCGAAGTAGTAATGCAATTTGATCATAATCAAGAGCCAGAAGGAAATTAGTTAGATAGTACTGTGATAGCACAGTGATGGCTACAATTTGTTTAGATAGATAGATAGATAGTTTATTTGCCAACAAAGCACACACATTACATGAAATACAAAGACAGAACAAACAATGAAGTAAATACTTAAAACGAACAAAAACAGGATTACATAAACAACATATACGAAAATCAAAATCAAGTTATAATACAAAAAATGAATCATGTGTGCTGCCGTGGCGCATAGGACGCAGCTCAGCGTACAACCGTCGCAAAAACGACGCGCTGATTTTCAGCTACCTCCCAAAAGTTTACGCGGAACATTAAAATGTGAAAAGAAAAAGATTGTCGTCTGTGCATTAGCACACTAATTATAGTGTGCTGTGTACACGAAGCATAATGTGTATGAAGTGTATGTAGTATGTACTTACGGAGCATTAAAGATTCAAATAATAAATTACAACCTTAAAACAAAATAATAAATTACAAAACAAAAATGAAAGCAAACATTTTTAAGTTGATTATTGTGTGTGATCAGTATACAATAAAGTATTGGTTAGTAATTAATTTACTTGCTAAAATATTAATAAATCGGTCGGATACGACGCCTCAGGCGCGAAATGCATAGGAATACCCAATCTTTGCTTGGCCAATATAGCAGATTTTAAAAGTTTTTTAAAAGTGTATTTAGATTTAAATGACCTACATGGGGGAGGGATGTTGTTCTGGTAACGGAAACTGCCAGTGAACGCCACCGTACGGTGTTGCTGCACTAATAACGGAGAACGTACAGACCTTGGATCTTCTTGGAAGTATCGATTACGAGGGAAAATCTCTCTCTCTCTCTCTTTCCCTCAGGGATTATATCGTACATAAGGCAAATAAGATGAAGTTTTCTACCCGACTCTATGTTCAACACTGATGCAGTATTTAAATAAGGAGATATGCGGGTTTGTGGAAATTTATTATAACAGGACCTGTAACAAGCATTTTGTACGCACTGCTGTAGACGTTTAGTTCGTTCTAGGATGCGAGGCCCATACACGACATCACCGTAATTAAGCCTGGAAAGGATCAAAGATTCACAAAGCATGATACGGGACTTTTTGCTCAGTAAGTAATGGATCTTGTATAG